GACAAACAACCGGTAACTGACATTAGCTCTGAACACAAGTGTTTCACATTTAAAATGAGCGATAAATACGATGAGTACGTAATCGATGACATTCAACACATACTGTCCAATGAACTGAATGAAAGCGGACAAACATTTCCCGTTACCCCCGAAGACCAGTACATCCTCGACCAGTTGGACCAACACTTGAGACACAGCGGCCAAAGTGTGTCCAACCCGTGTCCTCTCACCCCTCCTATGGACCAAAACATTGATCTGTTGAATGAATCGCCGCTTTTGGATCTAGATGGTCTAGATGGTATGTTCATTTATTTATTAAATATTATTTATTATAACTATAAGGAACCGATAAATGCGGTGCAGACTCTAATACAGTCGCTGTATATTTAATTTGTGTTGTATTGAAAACGCGCGAAAATATAATTGTAATACAATACAAATACAAATACAAGTGAATGCATTGATTTGTTACAAATACAATATGATTTAAATGTATATTTTCAGTGTTGTACATATGGTAAAATATTTGTTGATTAATTAAGTCATTTAATCAAATACAGTATATGAATGCCCGGGATTTAGGAATCACCTAAAATATAATGAAGTAATTACAATGGTTTTACCGAACTGTGTGTTTGTGTTGATTGTATTATTGATATAACGTTTCCGATAAATGTTTCACAAATTTTGCAAATCTTGTGTAATAATAACGCATAGAAAGGGTTGTCATATAAAATACATTGTCTTTCAGAATCTTAAGTAAACAGATAAACATTATTCTCGGAAATTCTTTCTATTGTTATTTTATATTTGAACCCATAATACATTTTAATTGTTAATTCATAATAAATTGTAAGAATATATATTTGATTTGATTTGATTTATATCACAAGAAGAATCTTACAATTTAGAAAGAATATGGGGTTGAAGCAAATATTAAGTAGTATTAAATTAATACAATAAACTAAATTTTTTAAATATAACATACATGTAATTTTATCAATATAAACTAAAATTTAATTTACAAATTTAATTTAGTTACTAAATTACTTGTTAAATATTTGGTTTAAATTGATTGCAGTTATATATGATGTATCAAGGAATGTTTTTAGTACAACTTTTGACTTGAGTTTCTTATTACCAAATGATTTTAATACAAATTCATTTATTAAAAATATTTAAATCATAAATTGCTGTTTGTGGATTTGTACAACTATCTTATTTAACAATATAATTTCTATTTTTATAAAAGTACATATATTTAAAAACAATTTTCAATTTAGTAATTGTTCCAATGAATAGATTTAAAAATTAGTTTTTTCATTTTTTCTACATTTTATAACTGTGTTTAAATTTTTGTCGATATTAATTGAACCATTAAATCATGTGATAATCATTTACACTTGAGAGAGGCTAACAGTAAACATTGATGTAAATCAAACTCGATATGATATCTATTCGCATTCTCGTTGGTTATTTAAATCCAACTTCACTTTTTATTGGATAAAAAATGTTTTAATAAAACTTATGCATTGTTATATAATATTGCATCCATCTTACAGTACAGTATAGTACAGTCTTATTTGTATAATCACTAAATGTGTGAAAGGAATCAATTCAATTGTGTGTAATAAACGTAATGAACAACAAAATGGCTCTCAAACTAATATTATTTATAATCGGAATAAGTATTTGTTAATTAAATTATTTTTCATGATTTAGATTTTTATAGTTTTTAAAAATTTCTTGAAATATTTATGTTTTTGCATTCAAATAGATCTAGGTCCATTGGCTGATCCTCATACTCAACCGCCAGCACAGACACCTACCACACCCATTGTGAGCAATGCAGGGGCCATAGGGTGTGACTACAGTCCCGCTTCTTCTGAGACGAGCGGCACTTTGGCTGTAATGGACACTCAGTTTAGCGGAATGGGTATCACAAGTCCACAGCCATTCAGTCCCAGTCCTGACCACGACTTTAACGCAAGTTTATCGCCAATCAGTCCTTTGCAAACAGTGGGGCCGAGAGCTCGCGGCCAATCAGAACCCACTCCTTATGATCAATTGCCGGAGTCGAGTGCCAGTGGCGGCCGACTGCCAGCTCATCAGTACCCATACAGAGGTTGCATAACTGATCCCTTGCCTCTGTCTTTACCGCCTTTTGAAGAGTCATTTGGGAGTTC